CAGACAGGGGTAAAAAAAAAAAAAAGTTGAAACATCGTATCTAGAGGATAGGATGAACGCGCGAGATGAAACTCCGGCACTGCGAATCATTGCTCGGCTGGATGATACTCGTGTTGATTTCACCAACGATGGTGCTCGACGATTCGCTCTAACTCGAGCTCGAAATGAAATTACACCCAGCATTGAAATCCCCGCGAGGAATCAGAGTGAAACGATTCTTGACTTTAATCCACGCGTAACGAACGAGCCAATTATCACCTAATTTCCCACGTCTCGTGACCCATTCCCTTTCCGCATAATTAATCGATCTTCCTCTGCGAATCACGGTGTGTTCTTCGTTCACCACCGTGTTTGCGGGCCAGGATGACGTGAGCGCATCCGTGAAATTTCCGATACACACCCACGATCCCACGATATCCCGTGTAATTCGGCTAGTATACCGTCAGGGACCGTCATCCCTCTGACACGCATTCCCCATTGATTTTCGTCGTTTCACCGAGTTCCAAGCGATCCGTTCGTCCAGACATTTGCAAATAGCAAACGGTATGCACAAATGCGCTTCAACATACGCTAGAAACATCTTATTAGATGTTGGTGAAGTGGTCGTGGAGATGTTTCGTTTCGAGAAGGAAGGATAACGTTTTCCGATAACGAAGTCGTTCAAAGATGCGGATCGAATTCTAATGAATTTCCTTTCCCTTTGTCCCACACGGATCCTCCTCCTCCTCCTCCTCCTTCTTTGGCGCGTAAAAATTTTTATGCAAACACGGATCGTTCGTTTCTCGTCCCTTCGTTTCTTTCTTTCCGCCTCCGTGGTCCTTGGCTACTTCTGTCTATCTATCGTCATCGCCATCTTGATAACGAGGTTTACGTCTCGACGCTTTTCTTCTCGTCACGAGATGATAAACTCGACGGGGAGGGGAGAAAGAAAGGGGACGGGAGAGTAGCTACTCTCGTGCCACGCCTCGATGGACCTCGATATCGATGAGTTATTTTTCGAGGCGGCTCGAGTTCGATGAACTTTGTCGGCAACTACTCGCCGATCAAGACGAGTTGATTAAAACGAAGGGCAACTTTCCGGTTTTTCAAGATTGGGTGGAAAGTTGGGAGGAAGTTTTTCGAGCTGGAATTCGATTATCGAGTTTGGACTTGGATCGGTGGTAAAGATAACCGAGTTAGGAAAAAAAAAAAAATTAATGCGAATCAAAATGCGGGGACGCGAACTATGTACGTACGCCGGTGGTACGTTCTCCTCTTTTCCATTCGAGTTTCCTTCCTCCATTCTTTTCCTTTCGTTTATTTTGATTTAACGATTTTCCCCCTCTTCTCATTTTTTTGGAACAATCTAATTTGCACAGAACAAAGATATTCTCTGCGCATTCGTAGCGAGGAAAGAAGTGGCCGGTATGCAAACTCCTCCCCTCGAAAAAGGCATCGCTATCCTTGGCAAGGATTTCCTCGCCCCCCTTCCTCCATTCTCGTTTGCATCTCAACCATCCATGATTTCTCCACCAGCTTCCTCCTCCTCGTGGAGAGTTACTCGCGTAGAGAATAGAAATAGCACTCCGCTCCAGCATGGCGTCGAGAAAAATCCTGAAATTCGATCCTGTTACTATCTACTATCGAATATTCGATACATTTATTCTAAATAAT